AAAAAAAAAAAAAAAAAAAACATCTGCAAAATGAACAATCCAGCCTAATGATATCATAAACATCCAGCCAAATGAACAATTTGTCAATTACAGATACAATTAATACAAAATCTGCAAAATGACATCATAAACTATGGCCAGCAAATTAATACAAAAATTCTTCAATGACTCTGATCATACTGCCTAAACATTCTACAAACACCTTTACTGGGTATGTTAGTCAAACAAGTAATGGACCTCCTTATATAGTAAGCCACAACCTTTCATAAATTTAGGATAAATATCTCAGTTTTGTTTAACATACCTTAGTTTTCAAATGTTCCACAGTGTACATTGCATTGATAAGTTTAAGCCTCTTAATAAAAAGAACAATTTACACAATAACTAAACTATTCAAACCATATATCACAACCTACAAAATATTTTGTAATCAGACTACCCTCTATGCTACATCTTTCACACAAAAACTTCAACAATTCAGAAGTGAAGAAACTCTATGCAAAGGTAATTCTAAATTTTAAATCTTTTGCTTGATTTATATTTGTTAATTGGAGGTTTTTTTTATCCAGATGGTGTCGTGATGCCTTCATTTGTGTGTCTGTAATTGAAATTCCTAGTTTTTTGTTTTTTGCTTTCATTTTTCCGAGCTTCATGTTTGCAGTGAATATACTCAAGCTTATTTAAAGATTCTGCATTTATAAAAAAAAAATTCATACCAAACTTAAGATAATGTCCCTGTTGTATTTAATTTTCAGCCTTTATTCAATGTACATATGCTTTATTGCTAACCTAGAGAAAGCAATATTCTATCAAACGACGCAATGAAAGAACATTCACATAGTTCTCATACACCACCCAAAAAAATTGCATTGAAAATAAAATGAAAACCATTATGATCAGCAAAGGCTGAGTGGCCATACAATTTAGATAAAGATCTTCATAGGGTCTGCAAATTAAAGAGAGATTTAAGAATTTTATCAAGATTTCTGAGTCAAGACTATGTTAAACAAGAACTCAACCAAATATCAACATCAAGAAGATAACTAGACCAAATATAAGTAAATAACAGAACACAAGAATGAACCCACAAGAGAGACACGAAACAAGAGCAGAATTGAAACAACAATTTACTTGAAAAATGTCCGGTCAATCAGATCAGAACCAAAAGAAGAAAACCAAAAAAACATTCATTCCACTATTTCTACAAGAACAATGGCGTCTACAGGAATTGGGGCAAAAAATATAACGATTTCAACATTCGTTCCACAAATCTTGCGAGAAATGGAAATAAATCGAAGATAGAAAGTGAAGATTGTGGAGCTCACCTGTAGGCACCTTGGAAAATCCGAGCTTCTTCACCACCCAGTCGAACAATGGCGACGTTCTCTGCAGCTAGGGCTTCAATGTCCGATTTTTCCTTATATTGGGAGAAAGCTGTAAATTCGTGAAAAATAAAGGGCATAATGGTCTTTTCGCAGTGAACAATAAGGGTAGGAATGGTATTTGTGTTGGGCGGATTATTTAGTCTGAGGGGGGAGATGGGATTTTTTTGTCCGATAATGGCGGATGAGAGCGTGCCACATCCGCGCCATGTCAGCCCAATCCCATCCCAAACGTGCAAAGTAAACGTAAGATTTGCGGGACTATTTCCCATATCCTATCCCAATCACGCGAAGTAAACGACCCTAAAATGTAACTACACCAATTAATTAGGACATTTCCTCACACATTAATTGTAACCATTCACACGGCACCTTCTTCATAAATGCACACCTCTTTCTCTTGCATATTCTTTCAATTGAAGAAAAAAAACCTAATTTTTAACAAATCATCTCATTTCAACGCCCAATAATGCCCAAAAAAAAAGAAAGAAAGGAAGAACATCTTCGTAGCAGTGAGAGTATATCACAGGGCAATTTTCCATATAATTGTAAGAAATCGCGAATTGCTGGGAAGAATCGAAAAATGAAGAGGTACAACAAGAAATCGGGTTTTCTAAGCAACATGCCCGATTGATGATAGGGTAATGGCGGAGCTAAAACTCCAGGCCTGATCCGGATCCAAGCATGGCGGAGGCTACCACCCGTCCGACTCCGCCTTCAATTTCGTGTTTGTGTATGTTAGAGCCATATTTTAGTTGACCGACGCCCCCTCTCACCGCCACCAGCCACTCGCCGCCGAAGATAAGGTCCCCCTACCTCAGCAACTCACCAGCAAATCATAAAACCTGTTTATTATTACGCTTGCGAATGAATCTGAAAATTGAGTGGATGACAAGAAGAATCCGTCTCGTGTCCCCTAGAATTTGCCCCTTTTTTCCTTTCCTTTTTTTTCTTGTATGATTTGATTTTGCTTTTAATAATAACAGCTTTGAGCTTTTTGTGTGTTTAAGAATTTGTAACCCTTGCACATATGCATTGAAAATGTATATAATTCGAAAGTATATTTACAAAATCGAGTTGGGTATATTTTGGATATATCCGAGTATATCCGAAGTAACTTTTTTCTGGTTATCTATTTAATAATTCCTTTTTTTCTTGGGTTATATGTGGGAATATCCTAGTATATCTGATGGAGATAAGGATGTTTAGAATCTTTAATTATTATTATTATTATTATTATTATTATTATTATTATTATTATTATTATTATTATTATTATTATTATTATTATTATAGATTTGTTAGGAAACTTATTATTTATCACTTTTGTTAGGATTCTTGTCTTGTTAGACAAGTTAGTATTGTTAGGATTCTTGTCTTGTTGGACAAGTTAGGATTAGAATTTATGAGCGTTATATAAAGGACTCCCTTCTTTTGTTATCTCAAGTTGATTTGAATAAAAATATGAATTGATTGTGAGTTTTATGAGAGAGTATCTCGTTTTACGTGTTTTACGAGA